GTGTGTGTGTGTGTGTGTGTGTGTGTGTGTGTGTGTGTGTGTGTGTGTGTGAAGGGACGTGCACACACCCATTCGCATGTGTTTACTTGTTGTTTGGGAGGTTTTAAACTTTTTATATATTTCAATGTCATTAGCCGGGAGCGCAAGTTCCCCACATAGGTTTTGAACTTTATATGGAGAAGGTGGTTGGTTGGTTGGTTGGTTGTTGTGAATGAAGGAGGTCGGTCTTAAATAAGAAGGTCACCGTGGTGGAGTCTGGTCTGCGCACGTTGCACCTTCAAAGCTGCTTTTGGTATAGAAAGCAACAGAGAGAGTAAATGGACTTTTTTTCACTTGTGAGTCCTGACTGACATGTGAAGTGACGTGAATAATAGATTTGGGTTTTCTGCCCGGTTGCATGAGGGTTGGGTTTTCTCTCTTTCACCGTTTCACGCGTGCATGTGGGAATAAGTGTGAGTACGTTTTTTCTTCTCTTTTTTTTTTTTTTTTTTTTATAGAGAAAGAAGCCTGTGGTAATGCTAGGGGTGCTGATAGGAGCAGACACCACTACCGTCTTCCCCCAAACACAAAAAGCACCCTTATTTTGCCTGCATCTGGACAGAAATATAGCTTGTATACATTCATTTTTAGGGTGGCCCGGAAGTCTCCATCTATTGGTGGGGAGCAGCACCTGCTGGAAAAAGAGGGCCCAGCAGTTTCCCTGATTGCTGGAAAAAGAGGGCCCAGCAGTTTCCCTGAACATACATTGGACTTGGACTCAAATGCGAGCTGCAGGGTCTACCTTTACCTATAAAGGAAAGAGTTGGGCAGGCAGAACTAGACAGCAGCCTAAGAAAGATGAATGGGTAGATGACATCATCATAAAAAGTGACAGTATCATCCTAAAAAAAAAAAAAAAAAAAAAAAAAAGACCCACCATGGCTGCTACTAAGAGATCTGAAAAAGGAAACAGAATGTAAGACATAATAATCTTATTCTCCCTTTTCTCCCAGCAAGTAGACCCCTGCTATGTCAGTCTTGGGGCCTAATGCTATCTCTTTATGAGTGAGGCCCCAGTTGATGTAGGCAAGCAAACACACCTTCCGTTCCCCTACCGCCACCCTCGTAAACCTCATGTCCTTGTATGCTCTGCCTTCCATGGTACCCTCCCTTTAGCGTTTTTTTTTTTTTTTTTTTTTTTTTTTTTTTTTCCCTTTACCGTTTTGTTGTGTCGGATATGTCCCTGTCTGAACTGGGGCTGCACCCTCCAAGTCCGTCGTGGAGATCAGTACTGGTGGGACCTAGCAGGAGGCCCTTGGTGTGTGTCTTCTCGTGCCGTGTTTGTCCCCTTCGTCTTCTTTTGTTTTCCTGCCACCCCAACAACTCTTTTTTTTTTTTCTTTTTTTTTTTCTTTTTTTTGAAGAAAACGTTGACTACATGCCTATTATTGGAAGTGATAAGAGCACTCTCCAATAATAGGCTCCCTGTTATAGATTGCTCCGATTTAACCCCAACAACTCTTAATAAGGCACTCAGTTAATCATTTAATAATATTTGTTTTTCTAACCAGAGACTCCCGGGCCGGGCCACCTGTCTGGGCAACCTGGGGGAGCCAGCCGGGACTGGGACCGGCCCTGAGTACCAAGACAACGGTAAAAGGGCGGTCAATTCATTTTATTTTTATTTTTTTTTGGGGGGGGGTCAAAATTTTGAATTTTCTTTATTCTTTTTTGACAGTGGGGCAATTTTGCTCCCACTGAGATCTGCCTAAATCAGGCCTTATCGAAAAAAAAAAAAAAAAAAGGCCTTATCGTTGAACCTGGTGACGTCTCACAAAAAAGGGTGCCTGTGTGGTATAAACGGGTACAAAGGGGCTTGAAGGGGCTTAACGCCTTGAAAGGGCTGTGACATAATGTAGTGTTTTGTTTTTTTTTGTTGTCTAGCTCAAATTTCATGGTCGGGCTGTCCAGGACCTTGACTGGGACTTTGTGCGGACCTGTCCTGGCCGGCCACTCAGCGGCAAACCGGGCAGCCCGGCCGGTAGCCCAGGTCTAAGGTATTCAGAATCTGCAAGCACGCCAGCAGTACCGCACACTTTGGCGAAGCAACGCTGTATAGTCATCAAACTTCTTTTTCCAAATTATAACACACGTTAACTAGTGGCAGTTAACAATGGTTCAATGAAGCGCAGAAACTGATCGAGCCAAGTTTCTGTATCTACCAAAATTTGCAAAACGTACACCCCCCCAATCGTAGCACCGAGTCAATCGCTTGACCAGCGATGTGACCATTTTCGAAGCTACCCCTGTCGACCACCTGTCCATGGGACTATTTGGACCTCTGGTCCTCCTTACGGTTACAGTTACAGTGTGACCATTTTCGAAGCTACCCTTGTCGACCACAGGAATGACCGTTTGACCCTCTCACCCCTCAAACACATTGTGTTGTTCTTTGCCTTGGGCTCTGGGCCTGTAATGAAAAAAACTTCTTTCAGCCGTTCAGGGAAGGGTAAAAAAAAAGGACCATTTAGCTCTGCCTTTGTCCACAATCTATGACCAGTTGGAAAAAAAAAAAAAAAAAAAAAAAAAAAAGAGCCTTTCAGGGAAGAAAAAAAAAACAAAGACCATTTAGCTCTGCCTTTGTCCACAATCTGACCAACGTTTGGTAATGGTGAACCTATTGTTGATACTCGCACTGTCGCAGATGAGTCCTGGGCATTTTATTATTATTATTATTTTCAAGTAGTGAGGTACGCCCTCAGATGTGAGTATATTGATGTGATTCCATCAGGATTCAAACGCGAGGTCTGATTATCAACAGTTAGGGCATCGTTAGACACTCCTCGGGGACGTGAAATCCACAAGGATGCGCTCATTCCACCTGTCCTTGGGGACGAAATTGAAAAAGAAATGTGAAAACGCCACAAGGAAAATTCCTTGTGGCATCCTTGTGGCCCCAGCCAAAATTTCCTTATCTCCAAGGGACCTCGTGAGGTCCCTTGGAGCTCAAGGAACCGTGATTCACGGAGCGATGAAGACGTGCATCAACGGAGAGTTTTGGTTCTTGGGTGGTCCAGATGTGGTCCAGCAGCGTTAGCACGGACATCCCTGCCCTCCGACGTCTGCGTAGTCCGCCAACGTACCCCAACGGCTACTGTTGGTGGTGGGCCTCCATCCGGTGGCGTCGTCGTTTTCGACTGGCATCATGCGGTCTCGCGCGCTCGAGGAACGTATACGTAGTCCCCCAACGCCCCCAAACGGCTACTGTTGGCGGTGGGCCTCCATCGGGTGGCAACGTCGTTTTCGGCCAGCATCAACAATCAAAATTTTTTTTTTACCCTAGCAGGACCTTCAGTCCGTCCACAGAAGAGGTTTCTTCACAAGCGTCGTATTCCCATGCATGTCGTCACATACTGCATGTCGGATAAGACTCGTGCCTTCTCCGCTGTCGTTTGCTCATTGCTGCCCTCTCCACCGTGCAGTCCATGGCCGACCTGTACTGCCGGCTTCCTCTGCTTCTCCTCATCGCTGTGCTGCTTCTGGTGGTCTCTCTGCTGCTCCTTTGCGGTGTGTT